GCGTGCTTATCTTAGTACATGCCTGCTGGGTTACTCGTCCCTTCTCTGCTGATCCATTTGGGGGTTTCTGTTTAGTTTTTTGTGTCATCTCACATTATAAATCTTAAGCAGGGTTACCATCTATTTATTGTCTCTTAAGTTTTATGCAATATTAGTATTGATGTTTATCCCTTCCTATACTGTGTAGAATTGATCCAGATTCCTTTTAAGTATGTGCGCTGATTTCCAATTTTCTGGGTTCTATCTTTATGTTACTCTAAAACCTATGTAACTTTTTTAGTCTGGTATTGACTCTTTAATGACTATTTATAGAGGCCACTGAAATTAGTGTACTAAGGCACTAGCAGCAAATAAAAACGAGAATCAAAATAGAGAGCAAGGCTCAGGGTATTACACTCTCGGTAAGTCGTACCACTGGACACTCACACGAGGGTATAGCAAAGCCAGAGGACAGGGTGGACTAGGAACGCTCGACAGAATGGATTTTCGTCCTACACTTACTAGACTGAAGATACAGAGGAAGGCGTGGTGTCTCTCTATTTCCGTGATGCATCTAACAAAGTCTCCCACAGTCTATTTGGTAGAGAGAGGGGGAAGTGTGGACTGGAGATGGCAGAGACTGAAAATGGAGAGCTGCAAAAAAGCCAATGTGTTCATCCGTCACTCTGGGACTTGAGGAACAACCTCTAGTTGCATAAGACAGAGTTCTCTCTTATGCCCTAATATTCGATGTTTCATGACTCAGATGCAGACTATGCCCTTAAAAAGTTTGCAGATGATAGTTAGAACAAATGTATTTTTAAAATAATTATTCAAAATATATCTTGCTATCGTGGGAATGTTAAAACAAAATCAAGATGAAAAATTTTAGAAATGGACCTAAAAATCCTGATTTAAGTATCTGTATGCTTCAACTGAACAACATGGTAATACAAGAAAAGTGCACTGACAAGAGTGTAAACAAATAAGCAAGCAAACCAAAAAAAAAAGGGAATGTTAACTGACTAGAAGCACAAAGAACTACAAATACTTGACTTCTTATAAAGTGTGATCACAGGCCGTTTTGGTAGAAGTACATTATTCAGAAGAGGAAGCTACCAGCTGCACTCTTTTCAAGCACAGGGATTATCAGGCCACCTCTGGGCTCCCCACTTTAAGCACAACCCTGGTAAGACAACTGAAGAATGAGGAGGCGTTTATTACAGGAGATGCAGTGGACTCATCTTTAGCTGTTAGGTCTGGAGAAAGCCTAAGAGAGCACAGAACCCTGCCCTCCCCTCCCTTTAACTCCTGGGAAATAGCAGGGAAAAAACAGGCAAAGAGTGGGTGGAAATGAGCCGACCTTTCTCCTGGGGGATTTGGAGGTTCCACAGGAGGGGTAGGACAAAGTATCAAAAAAGTAAGGACCTCAACTTTTAGGTATCAAATCTGATCTCCATGTGAATAGGAAGTCATTATAGTGAAGGTTACAATTTAAAAAAAAAGGGGGGGGGAACACTACAGAAGCCCAGCCAACACAGCACTGTTCTTGTTGCCGTTACTCTGAAATTCTGGTGTCACTAAAGTGCTCCATCTCTAAGGATAAACCATCATTCAGGTGGTAACAACTTAAACCACATTTAAAGTGGCCCTAGTGAGGGAAACCTCTATGCTGGCATGGTCCTTTAAAATTAGACTTCACTTCTCTTAAAGCTTAGCAGAGACAGTGAAAATGAGAAGCACACAAGCATCTTTGATCACCGAAATCCAAAATGATAAGCTCAAGCTTTTCCCTCCTTTAAGAATAGTTCTTTAGTGGAACTGGAATCCATCTAGGAAAGAAACTTCATAAGTATGTCTTGATATCTCTAGTCCCCACTCAGATGTGACTCTCTCACCTCTAAACTGTAACCACAGTCCTTTACGCCACTGGATGGCACTTGGGACACACAAACCACCCAGTATTACTATCTGTATGCACGTCATGGTCAACCAGCACACATTCTGCACCAAGTATGCTGCTGCTCTCAGGACTACATCCCAGACGGGAGATAGCCAATAAACACGTAAACATAATGACTCCCAGAGAAAAGATTAAATAAGGTAATACAGTGTATTGTGGATGGGGGAGGGTCTGGTTTTAGCTTGGCTGGTCCAGGCCACTCTAAACTCTAACATACCTCCTAGGAGAGGCCTTTCTTTTCCATCCTAGTAGAAGGCCAGTCTACTGGAAACCCAGCAGCCATGCAAAGACTTCGGTAAAGAACATTCCAGGCAGAAGGAAAAGCAAGTAGAGACACTCCTGAGACCGAAAGGAGCATCGTATGTTCATGAGGTCAACAGCAGCAGCAGAAAGGCCAGCGCGGCTCAGCGCCGAACACAGGAGGAAACAAAGGGAGCAAAGATGAAGCGTGGGGACTGGATCACGTGGGACGCTGTAAGCCACAGTCAGGAGTTTAGCTTCCGTTCAGTTTCAGTGAGAAGCAGTGCAAATTTGCAAGCCATGAACTCATGTAAGGCCTTGGAAGACCACTCTGGCTACCCTGTGAGTGACAGACTGTGAGGCCAGAAGCGTCAGTGGGACCAGCCGGCCGGCTGCTGCTACAGCCAAGGCAAGTCATGACGGCACACAGGAGTGAGGAGAAATGCAGACAGACATCACCAGACTCAAAGTGGTACCTACAGAATTTTACGATGGACTATTTGTGAGGTGAAGCACCTAGCTGGGCATCTGCGCTATACATGAGGTGGGCATGAATTTCTGTGTGTCAGGAGTAAACAGATTTGTGAGCTGAAACCAACAGAAATGCTTCGGACTTGTAAAGTGTGAACGTCTGCTTGACATGTAAGTGGAAAAGCTGAAAGGCCACTTAGCTCCAAGAGGCCAGAGGTCAGCAGCAAAGCCTGGGCTGGAGACAGAAACGGGAGCATTGTCAAGGCATAAACAGTTAAAGCCACGGAACTGATGAGATTACCCATGGAAAGAGGGCCAGGCTGGGGCTCTGGGGCACCTGAACACTAGCGGCCTGATGGAATAAGTGGTCCCAGAAAAGGAACATGAGAAGCACTGAGTAGTCAACAGAAAGAGTGCCAGGCAAATGGCTCAGGGCTGAAGCCCAAAGATGAAAATGTTTCCCACATGACCGTCCAATCAGACGAGGAAGGAGATACCAGCAAGACAAAGCTCCGGTGACCTTGAGAAAAGGTCCTCCAGTGTTGCAGGGGTATTGCAAACCAGTCGGAACACTTTAAGCTCCACTACTGGGGACAAATTCGTTAAGGCCCTTTTTATATTTACACTTTCATTTATTTAGGAAATACAAAACATTTACAGCCACTTCCTCCAACACCTTAACACATACATGCTTATAAAAAGTAAACTGAATGAACAAATATTACTTAAGATAGCTTCAAAATGTTTCAAGATTACCTCTCTTATTTAAACTGTACAGACTGCAATAGATTTCTCTCCACCAACCCGCCAATCACTAGATTTCTTTCTAAACCACTGCTGTCCCTCTCAGATCCAGAAGAACCAGTTACTCACTGGCAAGAGAGTAAAAATAATTTCTTACTGTAGCTGGTGATCTGACTTCCTACATCAAAAGCTTAAGGTAGCTTTAAAAAATAACTGTAACCACAGTAGTCTGATTTGATGATTTCTAATGCCACTCCAATTTCCTCCAGTTTATGTAATCCTGTCCTCACCAAATAGCAGTTGAAAACTGGTGAATACCGAACTTCAATGTGAGTAAGAGTCACCCTGGGTATTTATAAATACAGGTTAGAAGGTGCCCTCAGGTGAGGTATGGGTCAAAGGTCAAGCTGTAGTCCTGTTAAGCTACCTTTCTTAAAAGCTACCATGGAAATTCTGACACAAACAGTCCATGACTCATACTCTGTGAAACAACAATGCAGAAGTTTAGAACAGAATAACGTATGCAATAACTAACTCTTGGAAAAACCCTTTTTGCCCACCCTGACGCCCAGCAGGCATTAGTCTTGCTATTTCTTCTAGCTCTCACCATCACAGATTCCTTTTGATAACTGTCAAGCACTTGTGACGGGCGCAAATTTAAACATTTGCTAAATCTTGATGTTTAATTTTTTTCATCCAATATGTGTACATCTGTGCTTATATACATGCTCATATAATGCTAGGTTGAAAAATTATGTATCTGCACAGCAGCCTTACAAAACTAACACCATCACCCTTGAGCATGCACTCATAATCTTAGAAAATTATTTTAAATAGTTAAGGTTTCAAACAAGGACTTGCCCACATTTCTGCAACCTGAATGTTTAAGGGACTGCAGAAGCTGATGTCAAAAGACCTATTTCAACAACTGAACTTGCAGTGTATGTGTTTTTAAAGGAGTATAAATAAATCCTCATTCATCATTTTCTGCTGAATTCACACCCATATAAGACTAGAAATTGCATTGCCAACAGGCACCTCATTCACTGTCACATAAAAGCAGTTTCCTGATTACTTGGAAAAACCCTTTAACATCTTCTCTAAAACTTATTCCAAGGCTGGGTAGAGACTTTTAAGGAAAAAGGGAAACAAGTGATCACTTTTAATATTTAAGTCATAAAACAAGTAAACCACAGTAGAGGAGAAAGAGGTTGAGAGGCAAGGACAGGGATGATGTAAAATTGTTTGGAATAAGAAATGAAATCAAGAATTAAAAATAGAATTACATTTTCTGTTTGGCAAAACACAAACAACTCTAAGTGCACTTCATAAATTTTACTATTGTTGCTCTAAGTGATATTACCATAAATCACATTAGTAGCGTACTTGGCATTTTTTTAAAAGCAAAAAGGACTGAGAGTGTGGACAAGTTTAAACAGCTCTGCGATCTCCGATAGGAGGGGCAGGGAAATCATCTGAGCTCTACCAGGTCTGAAAGCCCAGTTCCGACGGCCCTGCCCTTGCCGTCCCCCGTCCTCTCCCTCCAGCTTCAGCGCAGCGCAGAGCATCGCGGGGCCAGCAGCCGCCAGGAGCGCGCTCTTACCTGATGCACACGGGCGGACGGCTGCTTGCCCCTTTTCTCGTCGCGGACGGGGAAGAGAGACTTCAGCAGCTTCGGCATCTGTGGCACAAAGGATCTTACTGGGTTCAAGTAGGAGGCGGCGAGGCTACCAAGTCCTGCCAAAAATATTGAAAGGAAAAGAGATTTTAAAAAACCCTAACATTACAGATACCCTCAAACACAATGGTGGTTGCTTTTCCAATTAAATAGCAGCAACTGGGCACTCTTAAAATGCTCTAATACCCAGCGTTCCTATTACATCTGGAGGGTGCCCCAGCCCCAGTCCTTGTCACTAACTAGTCAAGTACTGACTTCAGCCCTAGAATAAAACGGGGCTTTTCATCTTTAAATCACATAGCCAATGACAGACGTGCATCGCTCTCCGTCTGGACTTTAAACTCTTCAAGTCAAGGACTATATCTTACTCATTTTCCATGCTATTTACTGAATGAAGGTGATGAAACTGACCTTCTAGGAAGACAGTGGTGTTTGGGTTGTTTTTACAAGAGAGGGACAGATGCCCTGAACCAATCATGTTCTTACCTGCTCTTAATTACCAAAGGCTGGGGTCAGACGTGCAGATTAACGCCTATGATATAAGAAGACTTCTTTCCTCTTAGTAAATAAAACTAAATTTTCAGGAGAATCTAATCTAATTCATAAATGATTAAAAAAACTGTATCCCAATCACACTTAAGACAAGCAAGTCAGAAAAGAAATACACTGCCGGGCCCCTTGACTCCACACTGGCCCCTGAGATGACTCTTAAGACGACCACGTACCAACCACGCTGGTACGTGGACCTGTCCAGCTGTAAGGCTTTACACTTTCCATACAGTATATTAACTCTAAACTATGAAAAGTTATGCAAGTAAATTTTTAATCATAAGCACAATCACTAAAAATAAAGAAAAGAAATATTGCTATTTGCCAAGAGATCTGTCAAAACTGAGTTCAGAAAAGTCAAACAGTTTATAAGAAAGCAAAAATAGGGATAAGAGAAACCAAAACGAAAAGACAAACAGAGAAAAAAACAAACTTAAGATGAATAAAGATCTGGAAGATATCATCTAAATGCTGAGAAAAAATTAGGACAAAGTTCTACATGCCGTTAAACTAACATTCTCAAGTGAGGATGACCCTAATTAAATGACTATCTAGCCAGTAATCACCCAAAGGTTGCACTCATCACAAAAAGAGAGACAGTCAGACACGATGTATATCCCAAAGGAAATACATAAAACCACCCATTCATATATTCTTGTTCTAAATCTGTGAAAAATGTCCTGGGTAACTTGACAGGGATCGCATTAAATCTGAAGGTTGCTTTGGGCAGTGTGGCCACTTTAAACAATACTAATTCCCCAGTCCGAGAACATGGGCTATCCTTCCAGTCAAGTCATCTTTGATTTCCTTCGTCAATGTTTTGTAGTTCTCCACGTACAAGTCTTTCACTTCCTTGCTCAGATTCATTCCTAAGTATTTTATTTTTTTGGATGCGATTTTAAAAGGGATTGTTTCTTTCCTTTTCTGGTATTTCATCATTAGTGTAAAGAAATGCAACTGATATCTGCATGTTAATCTTGTATCCTGCTACCTTGCCAAATTATTTTATCAACTCTAGTAGTTTTTGTGTGCAGCCTTTAGGGTTTTCTATAATACAGTATCATGTTATCTGTAGCTAGTGACAATTTTACCTCTTCTCTTCCAATTTGGATGGGATTAAATCCTTAATTCTTTTCATCATAACAAGATGGGGAAATTCAGAATTCTACGAGAAAATCTGAGACTAGTCTCTCCCTGGCCAAAAGGTTCCCTTTATTACTTATTAAAATCCCTGTTACCAAAACAAAACAAAACCCCTCAATGTAGGCAGGTGTGGGTATAGCTCAGTGGTAGAGCTCTTGCGTAGTTAGCATGCACGAGGTCCTGGGTTCAATCCCCAGCACCTCCATTAAAAACAAACAAACAGAACTCAGAATGACTCAACACATCAAGATAAGAAAGGGAAAAATTCAGACTGGCATTAACTAGTCAGATAGTGATTACTGACAGAAAAATCTTAATTTAAACTACTTCTGAAAGATGCTCAAATTTCATGACAGTGATTGAAAATGAAAATGTAACTTACCCGGATCGGGAGAATGGTTATTTTGCGGAGAACCAGGGAGGGAAGGGGCAGCCGGAGCTATTCCTCTAGAAACTCCAGTTTGCGATACATCCTGCTGACTTTCCCACCGGCCCTAATAAGGATGAAAATCAGTCATTTTAATTCGTGTCAATTAACAAAAAAAACTAAAGGTATTGAAGACAAAGCTGTTACACGTCACTGAAGCTTTATTCTCACTACAGGACGTGATAAATTTGATCGCTTAAGTACTTTTCCCCTCGTGCTTTTCATCTTCTTTGTGGTATTGATTTCCCTAACAATAATAATACCTCACATCTGGGTATCACCTCCAGTTATAATTTACAGTCTCCTAATGTTCCTTCTCCTTTGTCATGTTGCTTCTCATAAAATACGGGTCTAGTAAGACAGTCCTTTTGAGACCCTCCCTTACGATCTGCTCCTTACGCCATTTCTGCTCTTCTGCCTCAAGATACCCTCCTCACTTGAGATTCGGGACTGGAACCCAGGACCAAGTCTACACCATCAGGCGTCTCTCCTGTCCCCTCTGTCCTCTCCTGGAGTGCATCTTTCCAACCATAAAAGTAAAAATTCTAGGACAGTGTATTACCAAGTCTCTCATTTTTAATAAATATTAAAGATGTGGTCCAGGTAAACCCAAGCCAAGTAATCACAAATTCCCGAGAACAGCAGTCTCTGAATTAACAAGTCTGACTGGACTCTCAACTTATTTTTATAAATTCCCATTAAAGAGGCTTTATTGCATAATCCAAGAACAATGCCCGTCAGGTGACAGATTAATTTACCATTCTAGAACTTGAGGTGAGCTATAAACACGGCGATACCAAAGCACTTTTAACATTAGTCTCATCCTTTAAAGAAATAAACCCCAACCCATGCTGTAAGTACAAAGGCCAGCAAAGGGGATGAGATGCAAATCCTTTAAACGCTTTTAGTTTCTTTTTGAGCCTCTGATAACCGCTCTGCCTTCTTTTTCACTAGAGTTTAAAAACGGTATTTTACATTAGTTTAAGCTATTACTCCACAGATGAGTGACCCTAACGATCAACTTGAGTCTTCATCAGCAATCGCTGCAAAGTAAGCTCTTCGCTGCTCCTGCGGACGGATGGAGGTAGAAAGCCCTCTCTGGTCGCAGGCACGAATTGGAAACCTATCTGCTTTCAGCAGCAACCTAAGTACTGATCATAAAATCAATAAGCCCTAAGCGACCTGGATCCGGTTTACCTTAGAGAAGGTCACTTTCCCTAGGAACTCTCCCAGGCCTTGATTTAAAAAAAAAAAATAGTATGATGCACAGAATTAGGGAGCAAGGAAACTAAAGAGACATGAAGAGATGATGAGGGAAAGCATGAACTTGGAAACCCTTCACTGTACAACCATTTGTGTTACTACGAATCACACACTGATTTACATACTTTCATGTTTCGTGCATGTTTTTCGCATTTAAATGTAATGATCTGTCTGGGAAGCTACAGCCCTGTGCGCTCTGGGACGTCAAATCAGGCAGCTGAACACCAAGGCCAACACTCTCGGAGCTTCTCGGAGGAAGAGAAGCCTCGTGCTCTGTTTACAGGGGATGCTCGCACGAGGCTGCTTTGAAGACAACTTACTCAACTTGAGAATATGTTTCTTTTCATACTTTAGACTCTTCCCCTTTGTCTGGCAGCTGACACAGCAGCACTCGGTCCCTGAGGGAAACCAGGTCGCTCATGTGGAGTCAGCACCTCAGCTGTTTGGTGTAAAATGTGATCCGATGGCAAATAAAGTAGGTGTCACCTCTTCCCCAAGGCACACTCGGGGCTCTGCGAGCTTCCCGGGTGACTGTTCCCAGCTGGCACTCCCACACTCAGTGTTACTCCCAAATCGGAATGGGAGCAGTAACTCTCACTGTCTCATATATTCAAATGTCTCAAGTGAGACCATCGGAAAGGATGCATATGGTCCTTACCTACCGTCTCAGCCACACTGGGAGCCCTGAGGGATAACAAAAACGGAGACACGTTTCACTTCATCCATCTCCCTTAACTGTCACCTTAACCTTGAAGAATCCCAGGCACTAAGTGTTCCCTGGTCTCACTGATCAGACATGGGACACAGAGTGTCTCCAATCGCTCAGGGACAGAACAGGTTCTGCTTCCGAGGGAGCAACAAATTCTGATACCAGACGGGGCACCACACTTCTCCTCTTTCTGACACCCACGGCTCTCTGGGGAAACACTCCACTGAAATCATTCACTGTATTCTTCTCCAGTATGTGTCCATTCTCTGACCAGAAGCAAAACTGAGGGTTCCAGGTCTAGCAACACACACTGCCCCCCGGGGCCAAGGCAATTAGTGTCCTTCCCATAAATTTTACATGCTTGGCTGTTCCAGAGTTATTCTCCCTTTACTGAAATGTCGGGGAAGAAAAAAAGGAGCATCCCAGTTAAAGGTACTTCAGAGGGAGATGAACTCAGGACAGTGAATAAAAAAAGGACTTGGCTAGATGCTGGACCTTTCTGCTCTTTATGAGTTCAGCTCTCAAAGGCAAAGAGTTGAAAGAATATGGTTGTTTTTTTTATACTTCTACCACAGTAATCTACACTCCACTACTGAAATCTCAAAAGATAAATCTGTGATGTTTTTCTCATCTATCAACCTTCAGAATCAGCCACAATAAGAGGATACAAGAGACAACCCTGGCTTCGTTTTGGGTCCCTAAACTAGCTTCATACCTATTAGGGATTATTTGTGCTAACAGGCTGAATTCAAAGAAATAAAACCCTACTCGAGATAATAGTTGCTCCCCCTCGCTCAGCCTCTTCATGTCCGCAGACTTCTAGGACGCCACCTCCCGAGTGTGTCTGGCCTCTCTCCCTCCCCCTCCCACTGCTGAGTCTTCTCCCCCACCTGTCCTCTCCACCCTCCAGTTCAGGGTTTTTTCACACTTTTGCACTGACAACTGTATACATTTCTACTATACACACTATTCTAATGTAACTTTATAGACCACAGCCAGGAACACGAGTGGGGTTTAGGTGGACTGTTTTAAAAAGCTCCTTCAGTGGCCCAGCTCCCTCATCACTCCTTGTAACACAACGTGGGAACTTCTGAGAAAAGGCCCCTTCTCTCTGGCCCCACACTATGCCCTCTGCTTTACTGGTGCTGTGAATACTGCCATGAACACAGCAAGCTTTCTCCTCCCTTGGGGGGACTTGATCATCTTTCACCAGTGGGGGGTTGGGGGGTGGTTCTCCTCACTGCAGCCTCTCTCGATCCCCGGATAATGCCTATCAGAGCGTCCACTCCCTCCTCTGGGCGCCCACTCTCCTTAGGCATACTTCTGTTACAGCATCTATGTTCCTTTACTCTATTTATTTGGTGTGGATGAAACAGTAATTTTCTTTCAAGTAGATATTATTTTCTATTATTTTTCTCCATTTAAACATAAGGAAATTAGGGGGAGGTAGAAAAGCTGAAGAAATTTTGCCCACTTGTTTCAAAAACCTTGTGATCGAGGATTTGGGTTAAATGGATTTCCAGAAAAAAAACACAGAAAGTCATGTTTTCTCTTATAAATACATTTTCCTTAAAATCCTTCACTTATTTATAATTAACGGTAATGACAATCCATTTTCCAAAAACTCTGCTTTGCTTAGGGAACCACAACCCATGCCTCCCAGAGCTAATCACACCTATCAGGGGACCCGCACCAAGGAGGACTAGTCCTCAGCACGTGTTCAGAGGCGCCGCAGGTGCCTGGTAAACAGATGAGCTGCAGAGCAATTTAAATGTCCACAAACACTGACATACGTGTGTGTGTGTATATATATATAAAGTCTAGATTATCAGTAGTTTGCCTCAAATAATAGTATACACATACATACATATGTTTGTGTTATTTCAGGCAAACTTCTAGTAACCTAGATCTTGAAAATGAGTTTAACTGTTCATCAACTTCATTGTCCTTAAGTTTTTTTTATAAGGAAAATTTCAAACATACACAAAAGCAGAATGTACACTATTTAACAAGAATAGAGTCGTGTAAGGTTAGTATAATGAATACCACTCAGCTTTGAAAGTTATCATTAAATAGCCAATCTTTTGTATCTTTACCCCTACTTTTCCCCCCAGTTACTCTGAAACAACTTTCTGATGTCAGACCATTTCATGTGACACTTCTGACTTCTTCATGGGTTAAGATATGGATACAGAGCTTGCCGCCCGCAGCTGGCAGCACCATCTAACCAAACAAGCTCCCTCCAAAACAGGCAGGCACGAGACTGTTATGTAACAACCAGTTATGACCATTCCTACTGGGATTCCTTTAAGTAAATGATGATGAATTATCTATACTTAAAACAATTAAATTGGGGAAAGCTGTATTAACAAATAAACACACTCCAGCTAACAAAATTTCTGTTCCCTTATTTTTCTTTCTTCTAACAAATAATACTAACTTTTGGACACAGTCACATATTTTCAATCATTACATCAATATTTTACTATTAAAAATCTGATATGAAGTTCCTTTCCTGGCACAAAAAGAAGAATACTTTCAAAAGAAAAACAAGGAACTAAACTGTTTTTCGGTGGTGTTTTTTTTTCCCCTAAATTTGCACCCTTAAAAAGCAGAGTAATAAAAATGCCCAGGTAACATTATTTTAACTGGTAGAGGAAAAGAAATGAACTCTAAAAATACTTTCCAATAAATTTGACATAATATAAAAAAGTGGGAGAAATTTTGGCATCAAAACTAGCGTGTGATATTTGAGAGAAGGAAGGCTGAATGGGAAATAGCCTGATAGAAAATGGTTATAAACACTTACCTTGTTGCTACCTAGACTGTACGATGGAATAAGATCCTGTCGGCTGCCAGACAACTGGAGAAGAAATAAAGAGGGGGATTAGTTCCTTATGTGCAAAAATACATAAATCTATGGTCCTGGAAATACAAGACTTTGAAAACCGAATCAACAGAAGATCAAGGTCGGATGGTATCAGAGAGAGACTGCCAAGACCAAAGCTGCAAACTAGACTCACGGCTTTTGGGACACTGTTAGACACAGTTAGGAAAAAATTAAGTGGATTAACAATTTTCAGACGGGAGGTTTGCAGAAGATCAGATATCCAGTTAACACTGAGGCGACAACCAGCTAGGCCTGAGTACGAGAAACTTCATCTGTTTATCCCCTACCGTGCCCCATCTTTCTCTGGGTACCGTAGCAAACGGATTCACACAACTTACTTATTTTCATCCAAAGGATTCTAGGTAACAAATCTCTGGACATACCAGTAGATTTTAATACATCATTTTCTGAAGGAATGAGAAGATATTTATGCTGAATTAAAGTGATATTTTTTAATGTCTGAGAATGTCCCCAGTCTTCCCATCTGAGATCATCAGTGATGTCACTCAGTCTCGCAGGGGCCACGTGCGCCCTCCAGATGGACATCTGTCCTACCTCTCACTGTGATCTCTCCAACACGAAGGTTGAGGGTCGCCTGCTCCGTTACAACCCTTGTACCACGGTTTTTCTTGGTGTAAAGTTCAGATAAAGATGTACTATTTCTCATATCCACATCTTTATCAAAAGCAAGGAAAGGAGAGCTCAATCACAGGGCCACAGGCATACTTCTTTGTGCCGAATTATTTGTATACTTAATATGCATATAAATTGTATCTATGTTTTTAAAAAGTGACAAACTTGTGACACTGTTACAAAACCAACCAAACTTATTTTACTAAACAAAGGTAACTTGTTGTACTCACTTATGCTACTCTGGATGGCCTCTAAGCCACCGAGTTTGTAAACCTAGTCCAGATTTCTCAATTGAAAATTCAAACTGAATTTAAGCCCCGAAAATTCAAATGGCTTTCCCTAGGTACTTGGCTAGTTTCATTCTAGTTCAACAAATACTCACTTAACAGGCACTGACGATTGAAAGATAAACAAGAAACAGAGAAAGACTTAAACGGACACCTTCCCTATAATGTCAGACAGGGCGGTGACAGGTGGATGCAGATGCTGCAGGGCAGGGAACGAGGACAAGTGAATCAGCTCGGAGAAGAAAATGATACCCGAGAGGAGATTTAAAAGACAGAAAGGAGGCACCCAAGGAAAGAGGAGGGAAAGCAGGTCCCAGGCAGAGCCCAGGGCAGGCCCACGCACTCACCCTGTTCACATTCGGAGAGCTAAGACTCCTCCTGCCCAGCTTCCCTCTTCCCGTCAGCTGTTCCTTCACGGCGACCTCCTGCCGGTCAGAGAACACGCAGGGGAAACACACGTGAGAGGCACGCTTCCACGGTAACAGCACCTGAAGCCGCCTCTGAGCTACGGGCAGGCTCCTACTTCCATCAGCAACGGCGGTCACTTCGCAGGACAGAACGACCCCGTTACAGTCACCGCGGAAGAGTCAGAGCTAATCATACAGCTGACAGCTGACCGAGGTCACTCCCTGCTTTACCTACTCACGGCCCCCTCGAGGTTGGCCAGGAGTTAGTCCCAGGAGAAAGATTATGGAAATCAGACCATTTACTTTTAATTTTTCGTCAGTATTTTTGGTTAAAACAAAAAGTCGTGACACTGCTACGTGAAGTGAGGTTTAGGGTTTTTCTAAGGCTTAGGTTTACCACTGGCATTTCTGTTTTCCCTTCCAGAGACCCACTCCAAGGCTGCGGCAGGCAAAGAAGCGGACAGCATTCTGCCTCAATACTACGTATTTCTTCAGAGACATTCTTGCCCGGTATCAAGGATTTTGTAAAATAACTCTTTAGCCAGCATGAGTTAAATATTTTCTTTCACTACTTCAAGGCAACTAGGTACCATTTATCATCCTGGAAAAAAGTAACTTTCCAAATGTGGTTTTGGATCTTCAAAGATTTATATGGCAAGTTTAATCTACATTAATATGCTCCACTTGAAGGCTTTGAAAGCTTAGATGCAACAATACCATGAGTTGCAGAAAGTCAAACCAGAATCGGGCTGCGTTGGCACCACCGCCACCAGCTCTGTTGGCTGACCTGGCGAAGACGATCCAAAGTGAGAAGGTTCTCCACCGCCAGCACGCTCCTGAGGTATTTCTCAATGTAAGCCTCTGAGTCGGCAGAAGCCGTGTTTTCAACATTAGCTGCCATTCTTGCTAATGTTTCTCGTTCCTCTACTCCCTGGGCATCCTGGGGAATGGAAAGCTATCTATTAAAATTAAGTACATCGCAGAAGAAAAATGTTATAAAAAGTTCTTGATCTATACAAACACACACACACAGAGTACTGAACAAACAAATGGGATGCATTCCAAAATTCCACTTTAGAGTCAGCTTTTGGAACTCAAAATGCATTTCCCACAGAAATCATGGTATAAATGGTGGTTATGTTGACTTGAAAGGCTAGTTAAACACGGTGCAGCTGAAACACCATCAACAGATTATGTTCTCTCCTAAATCTCCACTGCAAACAAAGACACGCCTGGCTAGAGAGGATTTAGTGCGGGTGTCGGAAATCTAACCACAGCAGCGCTCCAGGAACGTATCTTGAGGGGCCGAGGGAGGAATGAGGAGCTGGGGTGACAGCTGGATGAGTGCGGGGTCACAGCAACCCTCACAGGCGGCGGGCTCACGTATGGAGGAAAAGAGGGAAAGGAAGGCTGGGTTCCAACGCTTTGACTAAACAGCCTCCCATGAGCTACATATTCCAAATGTGGTCTTGATCCCCAGCTCTGGAGTGGTCGAGGCCCAAGGCTGGGAGCCAACCAAGAAGACAAGTATCCAGGCAAACTCTCGTTCGCTGTGCTTTCCAGCAGAGCTGCCCCTGCTCCTTCGGCACAGGTGGTCCAGACATGTAAATGGGATGGTCACACGTCAGGGAGGGACTTCGTTATCATTGTCAGCTATCTCAAGCTAACCTGGTTTATAACAAAGTGCTCTTCTCAGGGAACATCAGGTGCTCTCCTTTACCGGTGAATTTGTTACAATAATGTCAAAGACTACAACATACATATCCACCTGCCACTGCATCTCAAGATGCCATCAACTTCTAGAAACAACATTTTCTATACCACTAAGGAGAGGAAAAAAATCTCTGCCAATTAACTTTACGATATCAATTATAAGGCACATTCTAACTTCAAAAATATTTTCAAAAACTTACATGAGCCTTAGAACGGATAAAATATGGAAAAATTTGGAAGATGGCTTAAGTTCACAAAACTTTTGTTTGGCCTTAGGAATCAGCCTCATTTTACAGATGAGGAAAGAGGACAGTTAGCAAAAGAGACAAGACTAGTGTGGGGCTCCCACCCCTGATGGAGCACTCCCCTCACCACTCGGCACAGAGCACTGCGTGCACCTGAAAGAGACGGACGTTACCCTGATTCTCTAAGAAAGGGGATACTTGGGAGGCGAGAATTCTACCATTGAACCACCAATGCCCTGGATACTTGGGTTTTAAAGAAACGCATATATCCATGTTACCGCCCCGACCCCGCCCCTATCAGGATATAAAACATCTCCATTACCTCAGAAAGTTCATTCATGGGCTTCACAGTCACTCCCTCCCCTGAGGCCAGATAATTTCTTTCCCCACAGATAAGCTTCACTTGTTTTAGAATTTCACATAAATGGAATCACACTCTCCTGCATCACTGAGCATAGTGATTCAGAGATTCATCCATAAAGGTCATTTCTTTGTATAGCTAAGTAATATCCCACAGTATGGATATGCCACAATTTATTTACCCATTCATCTGCTGATGGGTGTTTGGGTTGTTTTCGGTTTTAGGATATTCTGAATGAAGCTGCTTTGAATATTCCTGTGCAAATCTTTATGGACATATGCTTTCATTTCTCTTGGGTGAGGACCCAGAAACAGAATTACTGGGTCATGGGGTAGGTGTCTATTTAAACTTAATAATAAACTGCCATACAGTCTTCTACAGTGGTTTTATCAATTTATATTCCCACTAGCAATGAAAGCATTCTAGCTGCTAAAACAGAAAAGAAAGGCAAAACCTTTTCTTGTTGCTCTCTGGTCTGTGACCACTTGTTTTTGCTAACAAGCCCTCCTAGCTTCTGTAATATGGAACACAAAGAACTTTTCTGGGCTTTTTTTCATGATGAAACCTAGCTTTTAAGAAGCTTTTTATTTTGTTTTGAAATAAAAAATAAACTAGGTGTAGTCCTTACACTATAAGCGTTACGTCTCACTTTTCCTTTTTCTTTTTCATCAGGATTTGATACTGTGAACAAAACACTTGTCAACCTACCTAGACATTTAGCTAATTATTAACAGGTAGCCCAACCACATGGGGCTATATGTTTATCTCGCCGCTGATTCTCCCACATTTCTGCACTTTGAAAGCCATATCACCTGGAGAATAAAAGCATTTTAAAGAGGACAAGAAAATGACAAATGAGCACAGAGGAAAGGAAGAAAGATGAAGGGAGAAAAGGAAAAACTGAAGACAGTTCAATACAGCTGTCACATTTCTCAACTGCATTTAAGCCATTTAGAGTTAAGATCTGAAACTGGAAAAACACAGAAGACATTCAGATACAGAGAATAGCCTCTAGCTACACATGTAAGTGTACAAAGAGTCATCTATTATAGACCCAACATTTTGCAACTAGTTTAACTCAAAAACAGGCTCAATTTTAAATGTTCAGCAGGTTCCAAATTAAACAGTTAAATAATTAACGTTTGCTATGGAAGCCTAACACTTTGAAGACCCAGGAAAGAATTAGTTACTATTTGACACTATTTGGGAGGAAAAAGTGTTTTGCAACGTAAGAACTCTAAAACAAAGCCTAAGTACTGCATAACCTTTTCACTCTTCCAAAAATGGATCTGTCTTAAAATAAGTATTGTCCATCTACTGCGCAAAAACTCAACAGAATCAACCAACAAATACTGAGCCCCCGAATGAACAGAATGAAGGTGATGTGGATGGTGTGCTTAGGAGGGAGTGCTCCTCCCAGGGTCACTTCCCATTTTCCACCCCCAAGGACAGCACAGTCTGGACCTCCCCACCCATTCCCCAATTTTGGATGGTCAGTGTGGCAGAAGGACCCACTCTTCTTTCTTTTTTTCACAGAGTCCCTTTCTTAGAACCTCACTTCTAGTTCCCCTGTAAGGAGGACCTCGTTACTAGCTGTGCCAATACCCAGGTGAACACCTCTGTCTAAATCAGGGATTAAATGCTAGGAAGTACATATAAACTACATCTTCCAGCAAGCGTCTATCAGGGATATTTTCAGCTCCATTTGTTTGATTCCTGCATCTATCTTGATAAGCTCAGAAGGGAAACAATAATAAAATAATAATAGTAAGTATTATAATACCAGCAATTACAATTTACTGTTTAGCATGTGCACAACAACTTGTGTATATCGTCCCATTTAAGCCTTAAAAACAACCCTGTTCAGAAGGTACCACTAAACACCCAACTTGATAAATACAAACATTTAGGCTCAAAGTAACTTTACCAAGTTCACTTCACTAAGACGTTACAGAAACAAGATTTCTGTGTGATTCCAAGATGAGTCCCTGAAACCCTCTGTTATGCTTTGCTGCCTCCCTTCAAAGGTTCTGTCCTCTTCTATGTGCAGAAACATGTTGATTTGCTTTTCAAAAGATTCTTCTTTAACAAAATACTAAAACCCGAACCTTTAAAGCCACAAAAGCACATTTTAGTATAAATCAAGGTAAGATTGGGAAACCCTCTACAAATCGGTAGCATTTCCCTAAAAACACATCTTCACTTAACACATAGGCCTTGGGTAGGTGGCTCTTCAGAGAGTTAGCTCTTTTTACATGTTTGTTTTTAGCAAATTCAAATTACATAGGATTCTTCACCTCTGGAATATTGGAGACAATTTCAAAAGTCACTCCACAGCCTGGAATAGAACTTCGATGCGACATCTTTTTCAGGAAACTCTGAGCAAAACCCTGGAGAAAAACAGAACAGAAGACAGGGTTTCCCACCTCAAAAGCTGAGTTTTCATTAACAAAGAGACAGCACAAAGGACACTGTATTTCACACACACAGAAAAAGACACTTCCAATATAAGCAAATGGAAATCCAAATCATTAAATACAGGTTTCCTCAACTTCACCTTAGTGCAGAAAACCAATTTATATGATGCCTGCCAGGTGACAGGTCCTGTACCCAGTATATGAGAAGCACAGACCCCGCTCTGGAAACGGACACCGGGGACCTGGTGCAGTCCTGCCTACGGGCTGTGGAAACAGGACTGCTGACTTCCACACAGTAAAATGACCTTCTGACTAAGACGTACACAAGGACTGGGGACTCTCGATTTTTTTTCTTCACAGCACGATGGACATCTTGCACCATGAATATTGACAAGTTCAGGCATTAAATTCTTGACCAAAGCAGGATCGTTATGAAGAATGATTTAAGAGTGCATGGTCATTGTTTATGCTGACGGCGCTCTTTGCACAGTTAAGAACTGAACTGTTGAATTAATGCACAGATGACTCATTTGAAGATGCTGCTAAGACTGAACATCCTGTAGAGGTTGAAGAGAGCAGGGATGAGGGCAGAATACAATTGGTGAATAACGATAAGGAGGAGAGGGAATATTAAACTGACACTGAGCCTTTTACCCCCATGCAAAAAGCAACGTTGGAAACAGGCAAAAAAAAAACCCAAAAAACAAACAAACCCACCAAACAGAACAGAAGAAAAGTTGTTCGGTCTCAGAAGTACATATTTTCACAAACTTACTTAATTATAATTTAGTTAATTTGTTAAAAGATTTTAGCCTCTTAGAATGCATGAATTTCATCCCCCCACGCTCTCGACTCCAGCCTTGCAAAGCTGAGCCACCGCTGATCACACAGGTCAGAGGACAGATGCACTTTGTTTTTTTTTATGGGTGGTGGGAAGAGGTGTGGGTGCTGCTGGTATCTTGCTTTTCTGTTTTCTACTCGTGCGGAATTACTGAAGCTAACCTGCACGTATTAGGGTCAGAAGGAAGTCCCGTTCTTGCTACAAAGGGGCAGTTTTTAGGAATGAACTATCTGAATCGGGAGGGAGGCTGCATGCAGCTTCCATCTGATGCCATCAAATCATTTCAACCAGGAAGAAAATGCAGCAACTCCTTATCCCTACAATTTAAAAATATTACTTGAAAAAACAAAAACAAAAACAAAAACAGAAGAAGCCCTGTGACTCTACAACCCACCCTTTCAGCTAAGGATTTTTCGGGGCTGGAAGTTGTGCCAGGTCAGTCTCAGCGTCCAGCAACCAGAACCTCTGGTTCTCAACTGGCAAGTAACTCTTTCAAATGCTCCCCAGGAGTGATCATCTTTTCCAATCCCTTAAAGACTTCCGAGAAAAGGGAGGCCGAGAAAAGTGAACGGGAGCCGCACCATGTCCGTCCGCAGCTGTGCCGTGACCTGCATCTCACGGATGCTGGATCGCCAAGCTCCAAGCTGCAATTTTACCAGCATTACTGCCAGTCTTCATTTCAAACGCTGCTATCAGTGTGACATTTAGAACTAAAGATTAATTTTGAGGGGTGCAGATTACATCTAGGACTCTGTCAACCATGGCTGTGCTCTTTTAAATGAAAAGATTTATTTTCATCTGCCCTGGTTTTAGTCAGTGTATTGAGAAGAGTCCCTAGAATCAACTCCCAAATCCTATCTTTGCAAAGCCAGTAACAGAAATAGTTTATATTCTTATCTAGAAGTTTTCTACTAAACCCGTTCACAGGGCACAAAGTCCTCCATAACCCAGCAGCAGCTGCATGTGCAGCCGTGGCCTTGGCCTCTGCAGCCACCCTGCTACACGGAGCTCCTCCCGGCCCCCAAGACTGCCGTGCCCTCTTCTTCCGCACCACCTCGGGGCGTCTCCTTCCTCCTCGCCCCTCCTCTCCATGAACAGCCAACAACTCCTCCTCCGCCTGCCAACCTCCCCGTCTGCAGAGGGGCAGCTCACGGGCACCCTCCTCCCGGAAGCCTCCCTGACTGAACTCTCACCCTGTCCCCTGCCATCTCCCTGTACATGGCGAGCTCCTGAACCATCGCACTATCACAACAGAAACGAGTCGCCTGTTTTCATCTTATAGACACTGGCTCTTTAAGGGTGCAGACCATTTCTTGTTTGTCTTTTTATCCCAATGCTCGACAGAGTACTCTCTCCGAATATATGAATCAACGCACTGGCAGAGATGAGTGAAAGGAGAGAAAGGCATGGAAAACAAAGGGTAAGCAGCACAGACATCGGCCCGGCTGCACCATCATCTCCTCCTGCAGGACCCAGACGAAAAGTCAAAGACAAAAACAGAAACTCTGCCTGGACAGGCTCCATGGTACCCGAAGGAACGGCTGTGAGTCGTGACCGTGTAGTAAGAAAGGTTCAGCGGAACAACCTAAGGCCATTTAGGAGGTCGGGCTGACGCGTTCCAGGACTAAAACAAACGCAGTTACAGGACAGTAAGAGTCGTGGGAAAGAAAAGCTTAGAGCTTCACAGAGCCTGCTGGGACAGGGGACCAGAACCATCATTCCACGGCCCTGCCCTCAGGTCTCACCCGATGTCATTTTCTTCAAGGAGGAACAAAGACTCACCTGCCGGCCATGAACGTTGACACAAATGCGTTTGCGTAACACCAACTGCATGTCGGCCGGGTGGCTGAGCTGGACCGTCACCCGCACGATCAGGAACACGCGCTCGTCCGCGGGCGTGCCCTTACTGAGCTGCGGGCAGCTGTGCACCGCAGAGTCCCAGGAGGCTTCTGCTTTTACCTGTGGAGAAGACAGACCGACCCAGTCTCCCCCTCCTCCTAAAAGTAAAAGACCTCACAAGGAAACATCCTGGCTCGGGCCGAAGTGGTCCATGCCAGTCACAAGTGTAGTTCTGCTCAGAGCAACGCCCTGGAAGACCGTGGAATACGAGGGCGTGGCCTCCATCACCCTAGCCTGGGGAGGGCGGGGCACGATGCTCCTGCCTGGCTGGCATCTAAAATTTAGTTTGAAAAACACCCAAAGAAAAGTTCCAAATTTAGTATAATGATTTCCTGTGTATCTTTCACGTAGATTCATCAGCTGTTAACATCTTACCCTTCTCCCTCTTCCTCATATGTATAGAGTGCTGTTTGTTTTGTTTTTTGCTGAACCACTTTAAAGTTACAGACGCATAACTATACATCCCAAATACCAAGAGGAAGGACATCCTCTGACTTAACCAGAGAACAATTATCATATTCAGGAAATTTAACATCAGAGCAATACTACTACATAATATGAAGTCCATATTCAAATTTTCAATTGTTCTGATCCAGGATCATACACTAGATTTGTCATGTCCTCTTAGTCTTCTTTAATCTGGGCTGTTCCCCAGCCTTTCTTTGTCACTCGTGACACTGACTTACTAAAGAAGGGAGCAGGCCTGCTGTCTTACAGAATGCACCACAGTTCAAGTTTTGCATCTTCAGAATACCACTAAATGATGAAGAATCACGTTAGCTTTCCTTCTTTAAAATATTTTATAATTTCTCCAATATACTCAAAATTAGAAAGTAAGCCGCCACTGCATACCCATTACTCAGTTTCAAACATCAAGATTTTGCTTCACTGACCTCATCCATTCTTTCCTCCACCTTTTAAGAAGTACTTACTAAAGCATTTCAAAGTCAATCCCGAACATTGTGCCCTTTAACCTCTATGTACTTCAGTAGCATTTCCCTAGACAGTGGACCACTGCTGACCTGAACTGTACCAACAGAGACCCTTCACCAGGAAAAGAAGTAAAACAGTGAATGGACGTAATCTGACTGGTCTACTCCTTCTCAAAGTGGTTTCATTCTTTCTGGAAGTCATAATGAAAGGTTTTCATTTATATTCCTTGAGAAATGTAAGCAATGAAATGATTACCTTGTTGATTTTCAAAAGGCTCATGGAAAGGCTAAAGAAACCACTTTTCATCCCATCTCCCCAAGTCATGCTTTGTTTACCTCTCCGTCGTGCTGTCTGACAATCTGCAGTTCAAAGAACTCGTCCTCTTCTTCCCCAGTCAGGGTAGCATCCCATCCACCGGCTTCTGGGTCATCAAGGTTATCCTGGGAGCTGAAATCATCAGCTAAAAGCAAAGAAGTCCCATTAAATCTGGAGATCATTTTAAAGGATCATCCCTACCAGCTAAATTTCAACGTGCTTAGTATTAGAATTCTTCTGCTACAAATTTCATCCGCTTTTGGCTCTGAAATCTTACGTAACACAGATGATGACCACTAAACAGTTCACGGATCTCAGAGATGGAAAGTGCCTCAAGAAATTATCTAATTCAATCTCCTGCCTCCAGGCTTTATTTCACATGGAAAGCAACTGGAAGTCAAGAAACCCAAGAGATCACTCCAGGTCAGCCCATAAATGTTAATGACAGGGTTATAACTCAAATTCCTTGTCTTTTAGAGCACCGAAGAAATGAGAATGAAAGTGACTCCAGTTACCCCCAGTTAACTCCAGCTACGCAGTGAACGAGATATCCAGTTTCCCTGCCAAAGAATCAATGGTTACATGAGCTAGAATGAAGGGCTGCCCTGGGGCCTTCGGTTATTCAGTTCCAAGCCTCGCCCTCCAAATTCCCGTTCCATCTTAAACTTGTGAGTAATCATCAAAAGTATCTTTCCTGGTGTGTGGGCTTGGGTGGGCCAAGAAGCGTTTTAGGGCTCAACAGGGTCCTGCTCCTGTCTTGGAATATTCATACTAACAGGTCTTCTTGAAGCTTATTCTTTTCCACTTTCTAACCCTCCTATACACACACACACATACTCCACTCACCCATTCAGGAACCTAATGTAAGAACAGGCCAGAGCTGCCCTCAGTCTCCAAGGCAGGACAGAGTGCTGTGGCAATTAAAACCCAGCAGTGGACGGACAGTGCAAGCGGCTAAGTGCTCTTCTCTGACTCTGCGTATGCATAAAAATCTCCTACATGTCCGAGTAAGCTTAGTGGCAGAGGATGCTAAACACCTCGGATGTTGTAATGCACTTTCCCTGGACGGAGGAAAACCACTGTGGACAGCCAAGCTTGTCTGTTTTGGATAGTTCATTCTAATACACAGCTCTTCTGCAGGTGTTTTTGGAATTTAAATGCTGACTCTTAACTTATTTTTAGCTCTTTAATCTACCTTTCCATTTTTATTTCCCCTCCTCAGGCGGAATATATGTAAAATGTAGCCACATCCAAAATACTTTACATGAAGAGGAAAAAAATGACAGTTACGAAAAAATAGGCGATGCAGGGAGGAACAGCACAAGAACTCACAGAAAAAGTGAGAAATCCACTAGGTGATGCCAAGAAGACACCACATAAAAGAAAGCACGTTACAGAAGCGTCACTAGTTATTAGTCCTTGCAGAAGAAAGGTCGTTTCCTAAGAATTAAAGAAAACATTTTAAGTGCAGGAAAACATTACTGCCGCCCTCAACAAAGCACATGCAGTGGTGTGGGCTGCAGGAAGAAATGCGAGAACACGTCCTGATGAAACATACCTATCACGGTTGTGTTACAAAAGCATTATTCTTACTGAGAGTTCATTCTCTGGCAGGTAGCAGAGTCCTCTGGCACACAGAAAACAGACCCTAACCTTAGGCTTACAGAAGTGCCTGACTGCACTTTTTGTTAGAATCTTAAGTGTTACCTGGACACTGAGTTGTCAAAGGTAAGCCTTCAGAGAGCACCTCCTAACTTACCATTTAGGTCAAGGAAGATAACAGGAATGTGCGTTTCCATCCCAGGAACCGGGGTCCTAAAACATGGTGAACAACAGTGTCTCAAATAAAGCAGACGTTCTCAGCAGTGTGTCCTTCGTGATTCAGCCTTAATACGTTCCGAGCTATTGCAGGTCAATCAGTGGTGATTCTGGGTATTGAGTTTGCTACCACTTCCCACGAGAGATGCTACAGACTTAACTGTGATGCTGCTACTCTCGCATGTAACTATCGTATGTGTGACCCCAGAGCTCAGTCTTAGAAGACATGTGTACCTGTTTATAATGGAAGTTGAGGCTTCCTTGTTTAAAGGTACTCTCTTCTAAAATTATATACCTAACAGCCCCATGTGGCTGAATTTATCATTTTTAATTTCTATAAAGTGGCAGAGAACATTTGCTGACAGTTCAGTTTAAGCCAGCACCAAAATCAAAAACTCCCGGAGATGCAATTTTATTATGGCTGGATAGTCTTTTAAGGGAATGACCCAAGTAATTAACATGTTAACTATTTTTTTAAAATGCTAAGTCCAATGGTACTAAATATTGATTTAGAATTCTCAGAAATCTTAATTACTTGGGCCAATAACAATATTACTTAATAAAACACAGTTCAAGGCCACAGTTACTTCAACTCATGAAAATAATTTAACACTTCTTAGAATTCAGACAACTTTTTCCCCCGCAAGCTATGACGGGTCCTCCATTAATCAACACGTAGGCAAAATGCATAGAAAAAGCATGCAGCCCCATGAACAGAAACTTCAGAAGACACGAGGCAGCACGCATACCACTCCGCGGGGGCCCCTGGGATCCCACTGCCAGCAGAGGGGACCATGACTGCGTTCCTCTCCTCCGTCAGAGTCAACCTCATCTCCAGAAGCTGAGCTTCTCGGTCAGCGTCATCCTCTGTCTTATCTGGAACATCGGGAATGAAGATCAGATACTGGTATCCCACTGCTCACCTGCTCTTTAAGCTTCCTACCGTGTAGCGACAGGATGTGCCTATATTCCAGGAGGTTCACTAGCAACTTTCTGCCTCTAATTCACGGTAAAAAGTTCACAATAAGAAAGTATACGCTAGAGAGGCCGGTGTGCTCGCACAGAGAAGCCACCTTCAGTTCACAGAAGGCCTAGGGTGGAATGCGCAGGTATGATTTCTTCCGGTCAGAGGGTTCAAGTGCTTTTAAACAAGAAATTAAGAAATGCTAGCACCTCGTTTAGTTATTTTTGAGGGACAATGTTTACTGTATGTACTGAATTTTCTCTTTCTTTGGAGGGAGGGGGACCTACAGAAAGACATCCTTACAACTGGATAAATGTCCTTCTGAGAGGATATGAGACAAACACGTCCCTCCGCTCTCACCAGCCCCATCACTGATGTGTTCATTTACTTTCAATTTATGTGACTGCAGATGGGGATTAAGTACATACTGACTTCAGGGGAGGGAAATACTCAAGTTGCTTCTCCTACCATGTTTACTGACAAGCTTCTGCAGCTGTTGGTCTAAGTACTCCTGACGTTTTGTTAACGCATTTAGCCATTTTCTACGTAGTCTCTCTAAATCCCGATCCTGGAAGGAAACAAGGGAAATTATAGTAAATAGAATGCAAGACAAAATACATCTGAAACCTATGCTCTGTCTTATTTTACGCAAAGATACTCCCAAAACATCAAGTGTTTACGACCACCACTAGTGACTCCAGCCATTACTCAGAACAGAAACTTTCAGAAATTAAAGCACCATTGTCCTAGTTTAAGATCATTTCTAAAAGGGCATCTCTGACACCCAGAACTAGTTTATTTCTATTGGCTTAAAGGGTAGAACTCCCACGCATTTGCGAAACAAAGATCTTCTAAAGGCCTCTGCTGGATAAAAAATCACAACTACTACTCGATAATCCTCAGATTTATATCCCTTAGAACCATCATAAGAATTCTTCAAATTTCTTAACTAAGTCTTCAACATGTTTCACTGGTCTCTACAAATCTTTTAAGTGCTTCTCTTCCTGGTTTCTGTGGATTTTTTTTTCAGGGGAGGGGGTGCGTTATCAGCAGACTAACAACTCTACCAGTCAACACCTGACTGGGGGCCGATCTCACCTCATTTCCTCCTGTAACACAGTTACGGCACTGGGTAGATCAGTGGAATGCTGAGGATACTGTGTGTATCTGGATTTCACTAAGGCACTTAACCAAATAGCTCATGACATTCTTGTGGACAAGATGGAGAAACGTGCAATGGATCTACTTGGACAAAATTATAAATGACTGAAATATCACATCCAAAGAACAGTGATGAATGGAACAATGTCAGCTTAAAAGAAGTCTCTACGGTTGTGCCATAGGACTCTGTATTAACCCCATCTGATACGGTACTTTTATCAGTGACTTATAGGAAGGCAGACATTTTTATCAAATTAGAATGATGCCAAACCAGGAGAGTGACTACACTGGATGACATAATCAGGGTCCAGAGAGCTCTGACCGTTCTAAACGATGAGTAAACAGACTCACAAAATAAAACTTAACAGACATAAACAAAGTCTTGCAGAAGAATTAGGAAAATGGGGGGCAGGGAGGAACAAACCCAGAAGTAGGAAAAGGAGACCTGGCTTAAAGGACAGAAAATACCTAGGGGGCATGGCTTGACTGAAGGTGAGTATGAGGCAGCTCTTGATGGGGTGGGGGAGGTGGGTGACTCCAGTTGAGGAGAGAAAAGGTACAAAGAAGGGGATGTGAAGAAACTGATCTGTAGGGACCTGGAAGGGGTGGGAGCTCCAGGTTTGGAAAAGGGTAACAGTCACAAATGATTGTTTCCTGCTTTGTTTTAACTTGAGAAAAATCAATATTTGAATCAAAACTAATACTCTAATTATTAAGTAACAGTATGCTGAGAGTAAGGAATGTGTAATTTAGCACTTTAATCAAGCCTATTTGAGGAGGCTGACCAGTGCTCCATCACCTGGTAGCTGTCCATGTCCTCCTCTTCCTCCTAAAAGAAGAAAATACATTATGGAGAACCAAAACAATTATTTATCCAACAATCAGGCTATGCCAAACAATCTGAATCATTTCCCATACTTTAGGTTTTCTAATTTAATGAATATGTTTCTCCATCTCCCATCAATGCTCTCCCTCACTCAGTTTTACAGTTTTCAGAGGTGGAGTGAAACCCTGAGCTTCTCTACAGGAAAGTGAACACGGATTTGACCTTTTCGGGAACCAGGACAATACTTTCCCTGCTGGGTTTATAGCCCTACTCCCCAGGGGAAATCAAACACCTGCTGGCAAACAGTCTTTACAAGCAGTAGGGGGTTTCTGCAGACGGTGGGTGGTGGGGGAGGTTCATCACTAGCAGGCACAGAGGAGTTTCTGGAGGCTGAGATGTTTTAACCCTCAGTTTGCCATGTACCAGGGAAAACCAACGGTCTGGTGCAGTGACTCCATGCAGATGTAACACAGTAAGCAAACTTTTTTAAAAAGGACATCAAAGGAAAACAAAATGCTCAAAGAACTGTTTGCGGAAGGCAGTTTTCTGACAGATTCCAAAAGACTCTCTTGTCTTATTGGGTCTGTCAACAGAAACGTACATGGAAGGTCTCATGAGTCTTGGGCGATCTAGGAGCTCTGACTTTTACACATCCAATGCCAACAGACAATATACATTCTTCCATCAGCGGTAAAGTCCCAGATTCCTGCACAGACTTCACTTCTACTTGGACTCGCCGGGACTGCCCCTGTATCACAGACAATTTTAAGAGTATCTTAAAATCAGTTTGATTTCAAAAAATTTGGTTTAGAGAGCCCCCTACAGGCTGATGTTGAGAAAAGTGTTTATCTTTAGAGACATCATCTCAAGGTATCTTAAACGTTAAGTAGCAAATCTCACATTGAAAAGCTAATCAGGAACAAATATATGGTTTACTTATTTTTTTCAACAAAAAGAAACATTAAAAGCAGACATTAACAAAAGAAATGCAAAAAGCTAGACAATATAAAATGTTCAATTTACTAACAATAAAATAACAAAATAAGCATGAAACACCTTTATTTTCACTTACTAAACTAGCAATTATCTTTTAAAAAGGCAACTTACAATATTGCCCAAAGTTTATGAAAAAGGCAATTATATACTCTGTTGGTGGGGCTTAAATTGGTAGAGATTTCTGCAGGACAATTTTCCTTAAAAATTAAAGTAACCCTCGACCCAGCAATTCAACTTTCTAAGAATCTGTTTTAGGTAAATAATCATATGTGAACATGAAGAAATCTTGCAGCAATGTTAAGAATAACAAAAAAATAAATTGTAGTATATTAATGAAATATTTACAGTTATTAAAATACTGCTATAGAAAAACACACATGATACAAAGTTAAAGAGTATGGTGACAGATGTTAACTAGACTCTTTTTGAAAAGGCAGCTTACCAAACCCAGTATATACAGTATGTATGATCCACTTCAAAAAACAAGCAGAGTAATAAGAATAATTACACTCTCCTGAATTCACTGCTCTAATCCCAAAATAAAATAATTTTAAACCAAACTGCAACATGAAGAATTAATCAGAGAGAAGCTGTTCTTTCTTTAAGCCCATCTGCACAATAAACACCATGTGACTTTGTATATTCACAATGAAGTAACATCTTAAAAGAAAACTCCCAGGATTCTCAGTCATTGACTTCAAAGTTGGTTTATAAATTTTAGGGATGTAAAGTGGAATTTGAAAAACAGAATCTGAATATACAATGTCAAGTCAGCTACTCTTCCCTTCTTCCACCAGATTTTAATTCCCAAGAGCTTTGCATTATCAGGAAAATCAACTTAGACAACGATTGATCCTATCAAGCTAGATTTAAAGAGATGAGTTGCAGGTGCCTTTGATTTAATATTTTCCAAGTACCATGCATCAGCTGTTTTGTGGAAAGAGTACCCCAGAAAACATTCTAATTGTCTAAAATCATCTAGTCATTTCAATTAGCTACTCTTTGTCCTTACTTTGTCTGGAACAGAAAGCGACCTATTTTGAATGTGTACCCAAATGTGACAGGAGAGGTACCTATACTTCGGGGGAGGATAAATAAGGAGGGGGAAAAAAAGGAGGAAAAGATCCAGGAATGTCTTAATGTCCCACAGAAAAGCTTGGGAACAGTGTACATAAACTATTAGATTGAACTGCTTGTAATTGCTGATATTTGACCATTTTTAAACCACAAAACCAGCCCACACATATGGTTAACCTGAACAGTTCTCCTCTGCTACCTTGCGGTTCAAGGACAGCAGGTTCCAAGTCTGAAAGACACCAATTCCAAGGCGCCTCCCATCCAAGGCCCTCGATGACCCGGCTGCCACAGGCTTCTATAACCTCTTCCCTTACTGCTTTCCAGCTCTTCCTATGTGCTACTTTCTACCCAACCTTACCTAACTCCAACCTCTGTGTCTTTGCTCTTGCCATTTATATATGAGAAACTTTCCAGCTTTGCATGATTCTTTCAGCTTCCAGGTGAAGATGCACAGCCTTCAAAAAAGCCTTTCCTGATAAACCCAACATATCTTTGAACACATTTAGGAAAGGTTGCCAGAAGTATGACAAACACTTAAATACTTGATTTATACTAAACCACAGAAAAGTATCTGGTCTTGCCTTCCGGATGAATTTCTAAGGCATCCAAAGAAGATATATATAGTTTAAACAGATGTTCAGAAAAAGATGTTCCTCACACCTTTACGAATCCTATTTTTATGTATATATCTCATGCTGTAATTTAAGCTAATTTCCTTTTGCTTTTAGTGCCTTGTCCATGCAAGAATGGATTTGCTAAAATTCATTTTCTGAGGTCAGAGAACAAGGGCTTATCATTCTCCTCCTCCTAAGACATTCAGAAACCTGAATTTTTAAGTAAACTTTCTTTTTCTTTTAGCCTATTCTCATATTTTGCTTTGAATGACTTCAACATTCATTTTCTTGAGCCATTCTAATATTTTAACTATTGTTTTAAATATGGAAACTATCATAGGACACAATATTCTACAAAATACTGACTTCATGTGAAGTATAGCAAAAACCAGGATGTCTAAATCTTACATATAAACTCTATTAAGACATCCTCTCTCATCTTTAATTGGCAAGGCAGACACTACAGATCACATCTGTCTGGGGTTAAGTGACAATTCCCACATGTCTCTGCTGTATTGGTTTCTGGCAGGTATTCATCTCTACCTAGCTGCACTTACTTAATACGTCCTGTGGTATCACAGAAAGGTCTATGTCCTCAGTTCCTAGCACAGAGCTCCTAAAACTCTTGGAATTTCCTTAGTGATAATGGTGGCAGCATGTATGTTTTTTAATGATGTCACTTTTCATTTGGAGACTCTTTTCAGGCCCTGAGATGGCTTCAGGATGGGGACTGGTCATCAACAAGACCAAGCCTTGATTAGAAGGGTGGAACTTTGAGTCCCACCCCAAAATCTCAGGAGAGAGAAAAGAGGGGCTGGAGATCGAGTTAACCACCAAAGGCCAACACTCTCATCAATCACGCCTATGTACCAGAACATCCATAAAAACCTATGAACAATGGGGTTCGCGAGCTTCCTGGCTGGTGAACACATCGGGTGCTGGGAGGCTGGCACACCCAGAGAGGACACAGAAGCTCCTCGCCCCTCCTCCACACCTCGCCCCCTGCATCTCTTCCATCTGGCTGTTTCTGAGTTGTACCCTTTATAATAATACACTGCTAACAGCAAGTAAAGAGCTTTCCTCAGTTTTGTGAGTCTTTCCAGGAAATTACCAAACCTGAGAGTTTCGGGAGCCCTTGACTGTAGCCATGTCAGACAGAAGTGTGAGTCACCTGGGGACCTGAAACTTGCAGCTGGCATCTCAAGTAAAGCAGTTTTGTACTTAAGTCTGGGCCCTTAAACCGGTGGAGTGTGAAGCTCATGCAGGTGGTTAGGGTCCAAACTGAACTGAATTATAGGGCACCCAGTTGATGTCTGCAGGGGAGCAGAGAACTGATGGGTATCAGGGAGAAAAAGACTTCCCACCTCCCACGCATCAAGCACTGGGCTTCATATGCATTATTTCCAATCCTCACACTAATCCTGCAAAGCTGGTGTTACCATCTTCACCTTACACCTGACCTATGGCAGAACTTGCTCCCGGATATACAGGCCATGAGAGCCAGAACCGAACCCTGACATACTTAAGACTCTAAACTGCATGGCTCCTAGTCTTTATACAGGTTCTAATGCTGCTTGATATGTTTGTCTTATTTCCTACAATTCAATTCCAAGTTATTCTGTAAAGCTTATCTTTTTCTTACTTAAACCTAATGGAAGCTGGTTTCAAATATTATAAAGAGCAATATTTCTGAAAATGAAAGAAAATACACATGAAGCGGGAGGTAGCTGTAATATAAGAAATGGACTCGGCCAATCGAGATTTCATCATCATGAATGTTTGTTAAAAGGACTCCAATATTGGCTTCATGGTGCCAAAGAATTCAATGTTAACATTTACAGCTTTGTTACCTGCCGGAGTTGGAAGATTCCTCCCGTTGGCACGTCCTTTGCAGAAATTACCTCTACGGGGCAGTATTCACCATTCTCGTTCTGTTCCAAGATTTGAACCCAGAATTCCACTTTCCTGGTGACTTCGCTCCATCTAGGAAATAGGAGAAGTTCTTGGAAAATCATACTTTTCTATTTCAATACAGGCAGCTTAGGATCTGACACATGAAAATTAAGAATGAAATGACCTCCAAACAGAATAACTCAGTAGAGTTAATTATCTGTAGTTCAGTGAGTAACATGCAAGTATATACTGAAAACATAATTAAAAGCAAAGGTCAACAAACTCAATATCAGAACTAGAAATGGCTCCTTTATTTCATTCAAAAAGGCATGATAAAAGTGGTTATTCAAAAATCTAAACATCAGATGTACAGAAGTGAGTGCAGTGAGTAACTTTTCATAGATAAAGGTAGCACTGTATGCTTCAGTGACTTGACAAGTGTCTTGGCTGAGGTCAGTAAGAAAATCAAGAAAAAATCTCAATGTCTAATTTAGTATTTGCTAAAACTTTCTAAGTGCAAAAAAAGAAAAAAGAAAATCTGGTTCTCATCTATAATTAGATGCAGTACAAATATACGCTCTTTCAGTCTTTTCCTTTTAACTCTTCTTTTTAAGATCCTGGTGGAGGGGCATGCAGGGATAAAATCAGGAGTTTGGGATTAGCAGATACTAACTACTATATATAAAATAGATAAACTGCACAAGGAACTATATTCAATACCTTGTTAGTCTAATGAAAAAGAATATGAAAAGGAATATATAGATGTATAACAATCTCTATGCTGTACACCAGAAATTATCACATTATAAATTGACTATACTTCAATTTAAAAATTTTTTAAATAAAATAAATTTTTAAAAATTAAATTCTTGTCAACAAGTAAGCATTCCTGCTTCCATGATTGATGTTGCTTGGAAAAACCTTCAAGATAAAGATAAAATAAGTAAACCTGAATTCCAGAGTATATCTTTACCCATTTTCACTACTGTTAATTACAAGTATTTCATACTGATAAGCAATCTAGTCTCCAAAAATTCCTTTCACCCTTTATTCTTAACCACTATATTCTTAAACTTTTCCCATCATTCTTCAAAGTTCACTCCTCTAAGGAAGTTTAACTGCGCTATTGATACCCTGGAAATAACACCATCCACCCCTGGAATATTGGTACGCTCAGGAATGGGTAACCTTGATAAATGGCAATACTAATCTCTGGCAATTTTTTTAAAATTATAAATGGAATCAGATGAATATCTAAAATTCACCTATCCCGAAGACTCCGTGTTTTTGCCTGGATAATCCCCAAATCCCATAGGGCTGGGTTTTTCCGAGGATCGTTCATCTTATGGCCATAGACTTCAATTGCCAATGCCCCTTCCGAAAGATGCTCGATAAAGTCTTCAGTGATGCTAACAGAAAACTCCTGAAAAAAAAAATAAGAGCAGAAAGAGTAACACTTTTTAGTGACCTTGTGATCACTTATACTTGACAACATATCCTCACTTCATCATGGAGAAGAGAAATCGAAAAGAACGTTTCAGTTACAAAACAAAACACATCCAACACCCATAATGAATGCTCAGGTAGCCTAAGATTCTTAACTTTAACTCTGAATCTTTAAAAAAACTTTTCACCTTGAAAATCTATTGTGAAAGGCCAGCACTGTACTCTATCTTGTTAGCAATATTTTGGAAGCTATTTTTGAAAGTATAAATAATTATATTAAGAATAACAACAGTGATCTATAATGGCTTAATATAAAAGTTATTATAACCAAAAGTTATTATGTTAAGTTAGCAGCGTGTTGGAAAAACATTTTTTCGCAGTTTTTACGAAGCTATCTCCAATAACAGAAGAAAGGGGATGATGATCATCAGTGCAAAAAAAAAATTGCCTAATTTTTCAGAATTCTCCAATCTGTCCATCATCGTAAGACAGATATAAGACAGCCTTTTGCTATAATTAGGATTAAGCTTTAAAACTGTTTATTTTTTAAAGTTATAGAATCTCCACTCTCTCTCTTGATCTTTAGCACACACAACTATTTCTATGCTGTAATCAGTTTAGAAAGAGACCTCTCTCTTGAAAAACATGAGATGGCTCAACTGAGATACAGTAGAAAACAAGAATCTAGGATCTGGCAGTCCTGGCTCTGCTAGTTCCTTAACCATGGGCAAAGTGACCTCTGAACTGGCTTCCTCAGCTGAAAAAAGCCCTAGCATCAAACAACTGTGGGAAAGACAAGCAGAGAACAACAGAGGGCTGAGCAGCACGCGGTGCTCCACAAAGCTGGTTCTTCTCTCTCTTCTGTCTTCACGTTCTCTAAAACACTAGTTTCTTATCCTTTCTAGATGACAGTTTCTCCAGTAACTAATACAAAACTAGGATTCCTTTTCGAGAAGTATACACATATATACACATATATAGTCACACAACAGTTAACCTCTGATGGTGGAGGAGTTACATGCACTGACACTACAGTTTTGAGTTTTTTCCAGCTTTACTGAGAGACAACTGACATGGAACGTTGTGTAACGTTAAGGTGTACGTACAGTGTGCTGATGACACTGTCGTCTTTGACTCCAAACCCACTGTAAGAAACTGATCTTAGACACATATCGGTACCAGACTATTCAACAAAATATGGGTCATTTTCCTTTGGTTTTGATCTGAGTCACTAAATGCTGATAGAGTCTGGAAAGCAAACTTACGTTACAATGATCAAAGACAACCATGCATTGCGGCTCCTTGCTGACAGGAGAGGATGAAGTGTCCACCTCAGGTGCGACAATTACTGGCTCCTGCTGATCCCAGAAGTCATATTTGCAGAACACGAAGTGGGACAGATGCTGTGGCAATCCAGTAGCTTGGAGTATTTTAACCTGAAGGAAAAGCAAAGCTCTGCTTAACTCAGGAAGTTCCAAGGAGTACACTGAGTCAGAGACCCAGGTTCCAGTCCTGACTCTGTCACTAACAGCTGGTTTATGCTGACCAAACCCCATTCACTCTGGGACAATCTTTCTGCATCAGTGAAACATCATATTTAGCAAGAGATTGACATATGGTATCAATGAGCGTGGCTATATACAAATGGATATTTTAAAGCATTTACAGGCTGACGAAGAACACTTAAAATTCTGGCTTTTTATATCGTCATCATCTTCTTCAGACGAAGCAAGTTCTCAAACATCAGTACCATTTAATCATATAAACATGGCCAACTTTGGATACAGCACAAGAGTACAAGATTGCCAAGAATGATAAATGAATGAAAACAGGGTGCATACCAATAAGCAACAAATATTCAGAAAAGGGCAAAAAATGTTTTCGATACTTTAGTGAATAAAAGGAACAAGGTTCTCAAGTGGAATGCTACTGAAGCATTTTTTGGAAAACTTTAAAAGTATCAGGAATGTATACTCTGAAGACTGGAGAACTGAATGGAGGAGATGAAAGATGGTGACTGCTGACCATTCTCTGCACCGGCATTTACTGACACCTTCTCTGTGCAGATTTAGGGAGGAAAGCTGGATCAAAGGAAACGTGCCCTGAACTGCAGCGTACGGGGTTTTGTGATGACTATGTGCAATTAGAAATATGTGTTTAATCAGACTCAAATGCCCCCAGAAGAAAAGCCTATGACAGACTTTAAAGCAATCAAACAGTGTACCTATTTCTTTAAGCAGGCGGCACCAGGTTGATTTTTAAGTTGGAATTTTTGTGATACATAGCGACATTCTAAAATCCCTCCAACTAAAAGAAACTAAATCCTAAAATTAATTAAACTAAACTAAATCCTGATTTTATACTCAGTGAGGCCAATTTTCCTATGACTGCTATTGTTACACTCTGCACCTGGTCACGTCCTGCACGTTGTGTGATCCACTCTAAACCTCCAGTTAATAAATTAAACAAAAACAGATCTGAATATGTGGCACAAGTTGAAATAGTTCAGAAATCATGATTATAATCATCTTATTGCTTCAGGAAGTATTAATAATACACAGAAAATCACACAAAGCAGATGGCTCCTTTCTCCTGTTCCAGGCACATCATGGGTAAGTGATGGGTGGGAACTCCCAGCGTTATTTTTTCCTGTGATGGCAACAAGAATTTCAAACATCTAGATAGCAATTCCCTAACAGGCTACGAAAGACAGACTGACTAACACATTTTATGTGTCCAAACCAAAGAGAATGATCAGTATTTGGCAACTGATTTTGCGTTAAATTTTAAAAACCATCCCTTCTTCATTAAGTGTTTAAAAATGCTTATTATATATATATA